GTCAGAATTTTATGTACAAGTAACTGCAGTTTCAGCTCTGGCAATGTCAGAATCCTTGCCAAAGAAGGTAGAATGGGTGGCTGGTGGGGATCTGTCCGAGCTGGAAAATTGTTGAACCGGATACGGGTGGCGCGTTGCAGGGACAAAGCACGCTGTGAAACTTTCGGCGCAACGAGTGACTGCCATCAGCCAGCACTCTACGACCCAGACGACAGGCTTCCGCAACCGTCATTCTCACAGTACGACCAGCAATTTCGTCAGCAGAGATTCTAGCCAATCCTAGTCATTAACGTCGCGGCTAGACGCAGTAACCTGAAGTCCTCTTTCGTTAAGGCTGAGAATATCATCATTTGTCTGGAGTAAGCGACCAGGGGAACGACGCATGCAAAACCGAATAGGCGCACTGCTTCAATAGGTGGTGACACAGGCAGACGACCGATTAGTCTCGATCGATAGTAAGATGAGTCACAGACCATTGTCAGCACTGAGGTGATATGAGGTGAGACTGGCGCACTTCACTGTTAAGTATGATCCGCCGGTGTTTTTTGGTGTCACAGACCGGGGTTAACGTTTTTCTAAGCCGATGACGATGTCTGACAACGGACAGCACGGTAGATCATCTGATGTTCTCTACCCGGAAGATAGGTTTGGTGCTTATTTGGTTATCCTGACCGACACGAGGAACGGTCGCACTTGGCAGTACCGTGAATTTGTAGACGGATATTCGGTGGCAGAAAAATGGACCATATCCGCAAACAGTTTCTTAAGACGCAATTCGAGCGTAGTTTTTTCGGCCACGTCGAAAGAACACGCATCGAGTACCCTGGAAACGTGCTTCAAGCACCGAAAGTGGCGCGTAAAAAACGCAGGAGAAGACGAAAACAAACGAAAAGCTGTTGTCATGTCATCGAAAGCTGTATGAAGACGGGACAAGCGAACGAACGTTTAACGAAAAACTAAAAACGTCAAGGCCGTTGACATCAGAACGGCGGATACCCACCACGTTTTGAACAGAACTTGCGAGTTGGGAAAGAAGTGGCAATCGGGAATAGGACTGGTACGGTGTGAATTGAACCGGCACGTGACAAAGACTGACCGTAATTCGCGTCGACCCACCCGGCGATCACCCAGTTGACCGAAAATTAGCTAATTAATGTCATAAACAGCAGTTTCCACTTGGTTACCACTGCGGGATCACCAACCGCTTTTGCGTCGACATCACCGTCGCAGCTTCGTTACCACACTGACGTTGTTCCCACGTGCACACGGCTACACTCATCTGTGTACCCCCCCTCCTGCCCACCGCCGCAGTCGTCCAGCTGACACGCCAGATAGCGAGGGACCACATGGGCCGACCGAAGATTGCGACGTTATCTGGGGTTCGACACGCAAATCGAACGAATACATGTATACGCAAATTCTGTTTCGCTATCGAGTGCATGCGTATCTGAGATTATTGTTTAATGCCGATTATTTTATCTTGCGGCAAGAACGTCAATTGCCTGATGGGAATCCGCGATATGAGGCGGGCGCAACTGTGCCGCTGATCTGGTGTTCGACCGCCTGTCCGTCCGTCGGTCATTCGCTTGGCGGCGTCGCCGTTGTATCGACTACGGTGGCGTCCGTATTCATGATACAGTACGCTGAGTAAAGAAACAAGAGTTTACCGTAGGATTTTCGGCGCCTGCCCACACGACGTGTGCGTGGATCGGTTCGAGTGAGTCAGCCGAAAAGTGCGAAGCGGCCGACGGGCGAAACTGTAATAATGCGGTGTAAACAGCGCTACCGTGTCTGTCTACGCTTGTTAACGACGATGACGATGGTTGTTACGTGTGTCTGATGGCCACAGGGTGCAAAACGAAAAACGTGCACCGGTGCACATTTGGTCACCTCGTTGACGACAGCAGCATGATCGAACTCAACGACCGTCAACATCGGTCGCGGATAACTGTCGTCGTTGTCAACCGACGTTTACCAAGTGCGCCGCCGCCGCCGTCGACTCCAGCCG